TATATATATATATATATATATATATAAATATATATACATATATATATATAATGTGGGATCCTCAACTTTGTAAGAGACCCGACCGGGCCGGCCGACAGGACAGGGTAAAGATTGTAAATTGTCCAGTAATTTTAGAAAATGGTAATTTGGAACCAGAGGCGTACCCGGGGTTACTGCCATTTGGAGCTGGGTCAATGTTTTTGCCATCCATTCATAAAAACCTCCCTACCCTCGTTGGTCGCAAATGCCGCCCCTCAGTTTAAAGTGTCGCCCTTGACAGACCACCCACTATACGTCAGCCTTTCCTACGTCACTGCTTGCAAACAACCCTAAATATTCACCAGTAGCCTACAAAAGGCATATATATCAGACAAGCATTAAATATCGATGTTTAACTTTAAATTTAACCAAATTTAGTGCATTTTGCGCTGTGTGTGAGCGAGCAATAAAATAGTTTAGAAGTTTATATCTTTTTTTTTTTACTTTTTTAGTTTAAAATTTTCAAATAATTTTAAAATTGTTCCTCCTCAGAAAAAAATTTCATGATTTCAAGTTTATCGGCCTTAAACTCAAGAAAACTTTAAAAGTCCATTAAATGAGTAAAAAGGGACAATGTATTCAGTTTTATTTCTGTCATTACAGAAAAAGATTTCGCGGATAATTTTGTTTTGTAATGTCTCTTAAAACGTTTTTATTTTAAAGTTAAGTTTTTTAAACCAGATGTAGTCTATTAGAGAATTTGACAGCTGACTTCCGGAAACCACTGTTATTGTTTACAATGATACAATGTTGTGACATTTCGAAACTTTTAATTTTTAGACAATAGACAATAGTATACAGTTCTAGATCATATTTAAACAATATGGAGGACAGGGACACAATGAAGTTCTTGGAAACAAGTGCAGCTACCGTTAAAATGACAAGTGGTGTACCGTTCACTGGCGGAAAATCTTTTGACTCTTCTGAGTCGGAGGATGAAGTACTTAGAGTAGATAATTCTTCTAATTCTAGATCTAGGCCTAACAATAAAACAACACAATTAGATCGAAAAAACTATTTTGATAATAATGGGGATTTGTCTGTGGGTGCATTTGCCAATGGTCAAACATTCAATGGACTGAATAGTCCGATTCTAATTGGTAATGACAATAAGATGTTGATTAGCAGTAAGTTAAACCCTCCAGGCTCAGGACAAATTCATTCATATCATCAAGTTGGTCCAGATGAAGCAAAAAATATGGAGGTAAATAATAAAATTGAAAAAGAAAATGTTATGAGACATTTAAAGAGAAGGGGTGTCACTGACATGACACAAGTGATAAATAATTCCAGTGCTATTACTTTTGAAATACAAAAAAGCGTAAATAATAAAAAACCAGAACTTGCTGATTCTGATATAAATACGCAGACTCAGAAAGAAAATAAAAATGTAACAAAACTATCATCCAAGCAAAGGTTTGATCCAAAGGCAAAGACAGATGCTGGTAAGCAAAAACCAGTATTCATTCCACAAAAATATTATTGGACAACAAAGAATCAACCTCAGCCTCATTCGTATAGTTCATCTTCTGACAATTCTTTGGAGTTTGTTGCTGATAAGTTATCACTCTCACCACAAGATCGCAGTCTTTCCCCAAGATTATCACGTTCTCTGGAAAATCGTCAGGTTTGAATATGCTTCTTATCTATCATTTTATTTGCAAACGTCATAAATGCTTTTCCTCAAATTTGCTTAAAAGCTTTTTTATGGTAATTTCTTTGTAAATAATCAATATAAATCCATATCAGGTACATAACGAACATGTGAGCATTGTGCTCTATTCATCATGTATTATACTTAGAGCACATCTCGTCCCATCCCAATACTGGTTATTATTTTATTCCGTCATAGTCATAGATTTTGTTCATTCCATATAACTTATACTCTATTTCAGCAAGTGTATTATAAAACTCACACATAAACTATTTATATAATAATTTCATCCAATTATTTAAGCATTCTTTGGTTAAAAAAAATCCTTAATTTTCTTTCACATTTTAAAGAGAAAAATTGTATTTTAGACCTATGTCTTTGTCTCTTCCTAGCAGGTTAGACCATCTAAACAGACTTTTACCTCACCACCTGTCAGAGCCATATCCCAGTCAGAAGTTATTTTGCGTGAAAGATACTCACAGAGCAGAATTAACCCTTTCAATAAATACAGTGACCTTCATGTGGATGAGGATTATTTTTCAGATAGCTTTTTTAGGGCGGAACGACATTCTACCAACAGCACCAAGTCTTGTGAGTGGGACCTGAAGAAAATGCTTTAAAACTTTGTTATAAAATATCAATATTTTAATTTTTAAAAAAAAATCAATTTCAATCCCTAAACAAAAAAATTCAATCAGTTTCTAATTCTATTGTTTTTTTACTTTTCACGTTTTGATGAAGAGATGTAAAAGAGTTCTAACGCACATACTATAATCAACATTTTAAGGTGTACCCGGTATCACTAAAGCTGATTAGTATGGTAGCAAGCACAATATTTATCATTTGTAGTGTTAAAATTGATAACAATAACATTTCTTTAGAAGAAAAAAAAGGATCAAAACTTCTATAACAATCTTTAAAGACTCTCATTTTAGAGACTTTAATTCTCTTAAAGAAAAAGATGGGTAGTAGGCCTATTTTTTTTTTGGCAATATTGCAAATAAATCTATCATATTTAAGATTTTCCAATCTAAAACTTGTATCAAGTTTTTTGTTTTGTTGAAGAAAGAAAAAGACAAGATAGCATTTGAGACAGTATTGTTATCTGCTGTCATTCATGCTGTTATCAGTTAAGAATGAGCAAAGCTGATCCAAGGCCTGGTCTGAAATGTGAGACTTCCTATTTTAATCCTAAAGTTGCAGTATTCCTTGTTTGTTATGTGATTGCAGCGTCAGCCTCCCAGGCAGGTGACTGGTGGCATGAAGCGAACAGGTCAGATGTTTCGTTTGCTGAGCTGGGCCTGTCTGAAGACCACTTCTCCCACCCACAGGTCAGTAGGGTCGATTCTTAGAATGGGCGCACTTAAAACCAAAAGCTTTAAACATGACATTTAATAAACTTCATGCTCCGTTTTATTATTCTTGGTGTGAATGAAACATATTTGGTTCAGGGCCCCCCACTGTATATTTTGTGAGTCGTAGTTAAGAGAAAAAAAACTATGCAGATTGTCTGTGATGTCGCCAGTTAAATTACAACCGCAGGAACATAATCTAGATTGAAAAATATTAGTTTTCTGGTTCAACAATTTAACATTTCCAGCATTAAAACATTGCTTTGATTTTCAAAAGGGACATTTATTTTATGCTTCCTTGACCTTACCAATGTCTGATTTTTTTCCCCCACTCACTTTCTTTACTGTAATTACCCAGTATTGTATGAGCATAAATCCATAAATGAAACCTGTGTTGGCAGGGGCACTTTGGTCTTAGTGGTTCAGAAGAGCTGGAGCTGGCCATAGAGAACTGCAAGGAGTTGATAAAAGAAGCCCAGCATGGCTCGGACAAGCAGAAAAATCTGGTCATGAAGCTCGTTCAGCTGAGAATAAAACTTCACGAAGTGAAGGTAAAAAAAAATTCAGTTTAGAGTGATAATTTAGAGATTAATGTAGATGTCATCTTATGGCGCCATTATACACTCTTGATTTCTAAAAATAAAAACAACTTGTTTTGATTCTTTAATTTACTTCGATGAATCAAACTTTGATATTGCAAGGATGAGATTAGCACATTTTATACATTTGACAGTATTTGATGATGTTAACTGAGAGCTTTTGAGAAAAAAAATGTTGTGGGAAAAATTAATTCCCCCCCCCCCCCCCCCCCAAAAAAAAAAAAAAAAAAAAAAAAAAATAAATATAAAATAAAAAATATTTGTAAACTTGATAAGTGGCTTTTCCACAGTTTTGTTCTCACATGAAGCTGTGTATTATTATTTGATACAGTTGAGATTATATTTATCTCTGTCTTACATTGATTTTAACCCTGGGAAACTGTGGGCTCTGAATGAAGGGGATTTCCCAGAAGTCCCAACTCAACAGCTGCATATTTATTTTAAGTATTCGGGATTACCACTTTATTGATTTATACCCATTGCAACAGCTGGATTGGGTCAATGGACGCTTTAGGCCAAATTTAAACCAAAAAATAATAACAATAAACCAATCATAAAAAGGAAGTTGGGAACTCAGTCATTACAGTGTATCATGTTGTGAAGCAGTGACATCAAGAAATGGGGATAGTTTTCATAGCTGTAGTCTTTTGAGCGAGGGTAAATTACAGTAAAAAAATATATAAATACCATTCCACAATGGCTTTTATTAAAGTCATTCAGGTTTGTGTTAAAAATTGAAAATGAATTATTTTAAAAAAAAAATTTCTAAGTGTTTAGTTACAGGGGCTTTTCTAGTTTAATGTGTGGAACGGATACATGTTTTGTGTTTAACTTGTGAAACAGATACATGTTTTGTGTTTAATTTAGTAAAAGTTTGATGTTTATGCTAAAAAAAGCATTTAACTTCCCTGAACAGGAAGGACCAGAACCAGTTCCAGAGAATGTCAAGGTCATTCTGTCCCACAAAATGATGGTCAAGACCAGCCGCACCAGTAAATATTACTGTGAGAAGTGCAACGGCTCCATCTGGGGCATGGTGCAGATTTGGTACAGGTGCACAGGTATGCTCATTCTCGGCTGCGGCAGTTCATACACCCAGCTGTGGCAGGTCAAGCACAAATAACTGTGAAATATGTTGTATCTGTGATTTACATTTTGCTTTCCCAATCAGCCGTGTGACACATTAATTTGTTTCCGGACAGGAGAGATGTTCCCGTACACCCGCTGATTTTTATTTTAAATTAAAAAGGATAAAATTACATTGCTGTTCAGTTCAAGGTAGCAAGATCATTTTATTTTTCTCTTCATAAATATCTATTTTAACAAACATTAAAAACAACTTGTATACTTAATATACCTATAGAAAGTTTAATCAGTTATGCGCACCCTTTTGGCCCATGCCCCACAAAGAAAAGCTTTGATTGCAAGCTATTCACTTGGTAAAATTATAAAATTATTATTTACTGAGAGCCACAGGCAAACCCCCCCCCACCATGAAAAGCTTGTTTAAACTTGAAGGATCTCCCATTCATCAATTGGCTATAAATTTATTGCTCCCCAGAATGTGGATACAGGTGCCATGAGAAATGTCTGCAGCAGATTCTGAGAACTTGTGCCAAGGCCAAGGTACATCCGTTGTAGACATGTTTGCCTGTTGTAAACAATGGTTCCAATATTTAGTGTATAGATTTATTCAATACATTACTGTTTTAACTGAATAATCCCAATAGATCTAAAAAAAATCATGGGTTTTAGAATTATTAATATTTACAAATGGGCAAGCTATCATCAGGTGATAATACAGCTTTTGTTGGGTCATGGGAGGGATAGGTAAGCCTCAGGTGGTAGTGCAGCTTTTGTTGGGTCAAGGAAGAGATAGACAAACCTCAGGGGGCAGTGCAGCTTTTGTTGGGTCAGGGAAGGGATAGACAAATCTCAGGTGATAATACAGATTTTGTTTGGTCAAGGAAAGGACAATGATAAGTATCACAATTAGGAACTGAAGCTTGTACTTCATCCCTCCCTGCATGGGGATAAAAGTAAATTTTGATTGGACTTTTCAAGACTATTATCTAAAACTGGTTCAGTGACCAGTATGAATAAAACTGTGTGCAGTATGTTAAAACACTAAACTATATAATAATAAATTTTGATTTGGTCTGTGACTGCATGACGTCTGCTGACCTAAGCTTAATGGACCCATACTTTACATTACACATTGAGGATTATTGGGTTTGGATAAGTTCTAAACTAAGATTACCTGAAACTTTATCCTCATTTCAGACAATTACATAAAATTTACATGTGTTAACCATTCAACTAATAAAAAAAACCTGCACCTTCTAATTTTGAGACCATCAGACCATAGTTTCTTCTCAATGCTTTCTCTGTTTCTCAAACAGGTTTTAGAAGACCCCACCTTGACCATGGAACTAAACCCTGCAGACAATCACGGTCTCATGATACAAAACTACAGGTGTTGGGAATGCAGGGCTCCTATATCATTCAGTGAGTTCAAGCATGGAAGAGTTCTCTCACCCTGGTTCTATCTCAGTGACTGGTCTCTGATACTGGCCAGTTAAACTAAACACTGTGCCTTATCTATCGTAGTGACTTATCTGTTACCGTGGCATATCTTTTATAGTGGTTTATCTGTCATCGTACCTTGTCTGTTACACTGGGTTATCTGTTATTGTGTCTCCTCCGTCTTGTAGCTGTCATGGTGAATTGTCTTTTATTTATTCTGTTGTATCTGTCATACAGGGCTTATGTGCGCTTCGTAACTGTTGTTAAAAGAATGAACTGTCTCATCATTAAAAAAAAATTATCCGATCCCTGAATCATGTTTTTTTTATAGTTATCAGATTTTGTAATTTATTTACCAGTATATATATTTTTGAATTGACTTTCATTAGTGCTAAAAGCATAACATATGAATATGCTAACATTCATCGCCGTTGTGTGGTTTTTTTCTCCAAGGGGTTGGCAGCCCAGAGCCCAGGGTGTGTGACTATACTGGCAGATACTACTGCGAACTGTGTCACTGGAACGACACTTACATCATGCCTGCCAGAGTTCTACACAACTGGGACTTCACACCCCAGAAGGTAGTCCATCTGGAGTCTTTTCTTTATCTATTCAAATGAGAGATTTTGTGTTGTGGCTTTGTGGAACACCGGTGCATTTTAGTGCTTCCCCGTGTGCAGGGCCAAAAGAAGGTGCGCAGAAGCAGGACTGCAGATTTTATTGAATCAAAATGACAATGGCAGTCATCCACACTCACATCTGTTCAGATTTATTCACGGTGTATTGATACACTCACAAAAATGTTCTTCTAAATTAATTTTAATACAATATATTGTTTTTTTTTTAAATCATTATTTATCACAAACATTTCATCAACTTTTTTCTTCAGTTTTATATACATGATCTTACTTAAGGCAACTGAATTTCTTCTTCCAATAAATAATAGATTTATCACTGTAGCTGTCATAATTACAAATATCAGAATATATAATATTGGAATTTAAAATCAATATTTTTTGTCATGTATTTCAGTAAGTTGAAAAAATAGCATTTATTGGCTATCAATATTAGCATTGTTGGCTGTCAGTAATAGCAATTATTGTCTTTCAGTAATAGCATTTATTGTCTTTCAGTAATAGCAATTATTGTCTTTCAGTAATAGCAATTATTGTCTTTCAGTAATAGCAATTATTGTCTTTCAGTAATAGCAATTATTGTCTTTCAGTAATAGCAATTATTGTCTTTCAGTAATAGCAATTATTGTCTTTCAGTAATAGCAATTATTGTCTTTCAGTAATAGCAATTATTGTCTTTCAGTAATAGCAATTATTGTCTTTCAGTAATAGCAATTATTGTCTTTCAATTATAGCATCAAATGTAGCAAACATGTCTTCCACAAAGATGCTTTATTTAACGTTCGTAAATGCCAGGTGTGCCGGGCAACCAAACAGTTTCTCAAGCTGATGCAGAGGAAAGCTGTGATAAGAATACAGGATGTGAACCCCATGCTGTTTGTGTACGTCGACCAACTGAATGAAATAAAGGTGGGGGGAGATCGTTCTCATTTGTTGTATGTGTCAGAACTGCCACCCCTTCCTTACCTCTCCTGCTAACCCTTTTTGGAGGCACATGTTACATTTTGTGTGTGTGCCCCAAATTGTTATCTTTTTTTAGTTCAGCAAAAAATCAATTCTGACTATACCCTTTGTGTGCTGTTTGACCAATGTTTGGGTTAAGGTATTTCACCGACATAATTAAATCTTACACCTATTGCATGGTTGTCTAAATTTTGACATGATGCTGGGTTGGGAAAAGGGGGGGGGGGGAATGCCAGCTATAAAAATGAACAGGCCCTGATGTTCTCTCAGTTCCAGTGTACACATTACCGGGAGCGAATAGTGCTGAACACACCGTGTTGCTTTGTGATGATTTTTTTGTGTGTAAGTATCTCTTTATCAATATCACTGTCACGTTTTAGAAACTGAGGGAAGAAATGATGGTGATGAAGAAGTACATCATCTCTTGCGGGAGTGCCATGGAGGCCAAGCTGCTGCTGATGCTGGAGAAACGACAACATTTTGTTGAGAGCTCCGACAGATACTCCATGCAGGTTAGCCCCCTTAGATAATTTATATGAGTGGATTCATAGTTTTATTTCACCTGAAATTGAAATTGATAAACAGTATTGAAATATTAAAATAAGTTGAAAAAGGGGGGTGGGGGGGGGGAATGTATTTGCATATGTGAATGAATCATGATTGTCTTTGTATCATATGTGCCAAACTCTAAAACTCTCAAAATCCTGTACACAATTTTTTTAAAAACTCAATATTCTATGGACAAAATATGGAATGCAATAACAAATATCATGAACTATTTAGCTTCTGTGTGCCACACGATGGCCGTCTAATCAGGAGGATTTGGAATGAATTAGAATTTATAGGTTTAATATTTCTTCTGGCATCTGTTGTGATGATGGTGTAGACTTCGCAGGATAGAAAATCTCCTCTCTCCACACATCTGGATAACCCAAAAGAGCATCATGTGTGGATGGTACAGCTTGGCACCAGCAGCAGCGCAGTATTTGTTGGAATTTTCATTGTGTCAATATCATACCGCCCACGGGACTCCATCACCTGGTTTGAATTCAGAGTTTTCCTTCGCATTAATGAGTTGCCTTGTCATCCAAAGTTAACGAGTCCAATCCCCTTGGGGTGAATGTGTCATTTTCGCTTATCTAGGCTTTTCTGGAGATTGAGTCAATTCGGAGCGTTCTGTCACCCTACTCAATTATTGTTATAATTATTATTAGAGTGGTCTTATATAGCGTAGTTCCCCAGCCTAAGGCGAGGCTCACCACGCTTCACATAAAAATTTTCAAAAATAAACATGACATTAAAAAACAGTTAATTGAGTGTTCCCTATTGTTCTGTAGATGATTTATTCTAATTTTATTTTCACTTAAAAGTAAGTAACAAATTGACTACTTGCAGAGATCAAGATAAATGGAATAAGTACTGGTGCCCATATTGGCATCATTTCTTCATTAATTTGAAGTATCATATTTACGGGTATTAGAAAGCAGCATTTCCCAAACTTTTAAGTTTGGCGGAGCTGCAGACCGATGGACAAGTTTTGAAGTTGCACTAGGGACCTGTGCCAGACTTATAAATTATATTTGCTTTTTACTTGACCATGAATATTCATGTTGTGGGGACCGGCATCATTACGTTTGTGGACCGGTGGCAGACCGCGATTAGGGGAACACTGTTCTAAAGAGAATTTGGAATTCAGATGTCTACTCTTTTCCCAGCTTGTGATTTGAATTCTTCTTTATATTTGAGTTAGATTTAGCCATGGCCACTGAGGTGGATGGGAGGGGCTTCTTCTCCCCAGTATTTATATATTTATTTAGAGAGTATTTGTTGTCCTTGCAGGATCTGTTGGATGCCGAAGACGTCCTACTGCCAGAACTGGTCAACATCCACAGCACCTGGGCACGTCATATTAAGGTGGACTGTCAGGTCAGTGGTACATACACGATGTCTGGGTTTGATTAGGATCAAGTTTACGTTCATATCTTATATGTCATACACTGAAACCTAGTAGTTCAGACATAATATCCAGGTATGATTAGGATCAAGTTAACGTTAATATGTCATCCATCGTACACTGAAACCTACTAGCTCAGACATGATGTCCAGGTTTTGTTGAGGATAAAGCTTATGTATCTATAACATCATGACATTTAGTATTTATTGACCATTCACTCAGAATCACAAGGCGCATTAATTCAAATGATGAATCATTAAAGACCGTAGTATTTTTGTCAGCCATTTTGGCAAGCATGTGACATTAGGCCGTGAGCTTGGAATACTCAAAGAAAGAGTGGGGATGCATCGATTGTCTGCGGACACATAAAATTAAAAATACATAATGGTATTCTTTATTCATTGGATTGTTCATGTTTATACCACACTGATTCTGTGAATTGGAGCCCTGTTGTATGGTTAATGAAATTTTATTCGTCACGCTATATTTCAAGTGATAAAGTGATGAATGTGCAATCCTCGACTTGACATTTTGATTTGAACAAGTGGTGCTGAATGCCACAACAATATATATGAATAACCGATCAGAGGAAGAAAGGCTGCATGTGTCGGTGAATGATCTTTCTCTTTCTGCGCCCCCAAACAATGGAATTCTCTCCCACTACACATCCACAATATACTGACCATCCAAGCCTTCAAAACTGCACTCAAGATACATCTCTTCAAACTTTACTATCCCGACTGATTCCCCCCCCCCCGACGGTTTGACATGTAAATAGTTCTGGGGTGGGTGGGGTGAATATTTTTTTTATACAGTTGTTTTTTTAATTAAATAAATGTATGGAATTTTTTTTAAAGTCATGATTATGTTTGCGAAAATTTTTATGTGAAGCACGTTGAGCCCAGCCCTAGGCTGGTGTACTGCGTTATATAAGACCACTATCACTATCATAATAATGTCAAAAGCAACAAACTTTTTGTCGAGGTCATATGGGCAATTATTAAATATTTACATTTCTTTATTTGGTTTGGTTTGATTTGTAAATCTCTGCCCCCTCGTAATATGTAAATGGTAAGATTTGATACACAGCTATGCCCAAAAAGGCATTTATTCTATTAAAAATGTTGTTGATTTGTAAAGGAAAATCTGTTTTTGTTGAAATATTTTTTTCCAGCTGTGTCAAGGGAGAGGATTTTGCTGTGAACTATGTGGTGATGAGGAAGTGTTGTTTCCCTTTGATAATATAGCAGTAGTGTGCCCCAAGTGTTGCGCTGTGTCCCACAGGTAGGATCCAGGCCATTAAATCTGTCTTGATTTTGATACTGTTAGTGTTAGTGAAAGTTTACGTTTAATAACAAAATTGACATTATAAGGAATCAAAGGGTTTTTAAAGTGCATGAATCTACGGATGATATGTATCATTACCAACATGTGTATCATTCCAAAAAATATGTATCATTCCAAACACAAGTATCGTTCTGTTTCTTTTACTCCCCAGACATTGCTTTGCCAGGAAAGGCAGCTGCCCTCGCTGTGAGAGACGGGAAAAAAAACATACGGCAATGTCCTGACCATCTGTGTATCAACCTTGTCCATAGAGATTTATTTTATTCACCTATAAACTCAACACTGAGCCTAGCATTAAGCCATTATATAACATTTTTATGTTAATATGTACATGAATATGTAACTTATAATAGTGGTACCAATGTTTGTCTTGCTGTTGTTAATATAACTGGGTTGCTCACATAACAATCATAAATAATTAAATATATATATAAATATATTTATATATATTATGTACCGAATCCTGTAATCACAGTGTAAACGTACTGTTATATTCTATAACCCTATATGTTATTAACATACAAGGGCATCCAGATTGAGGAAGAAGGGAGCTCATCCTCTCCTCCTCTGGATTATCTGTCTTGAATTATAAAAATTACGCTCCTGTGCCTTTTATATAAAAAAATTGTTACAGTTTGAATTCTTCTGCTTTTTTTTTTTTCCTACCTGATACATTGTATCATTGATATTAATGTTACATGATACATTTTATCATTGCCATCAATGTTACCACAAGAGATTTATGTCCATATTACACTGAGTGGGCACAGAGTGGAGATTTCTCAATGATCCTCACAAGTCATCTCTTTGTTATTGTGTCTGGCCAGTACGATGGTGGGGGGGGGGGGGTGGTCTCCTTTCTCCTTTCTACTGATGACTCAAAGCTTTGTCTCATCCTCGGTCGAAATTTTTGCTTTAATTCATAATCAGACTTTAAATTAATTGCAAGTATCAGATTTTTTTTAAAACAACTATGTTTAAATTTGATCTCTTGGATTGGGCATAATGCAATCATAATAACAGATCACTTTAAAAAAAAAAAAAATCAATCTTCGTGTGCAGTAAGTGCTTTTCAATGTGTCTAACTTTACACACTTGATTATCCAGGGTGCTTGTAGTCTTAACTATTTGAGACCCATCATACAGTTTATTGTGATATTATTATCTTCTCATTCATATATGTTTCAAAAGATGTCCTTAAAGATTGTTCCATAATGAATGTACACGGCTAGTCAACTTCTGGAATGTCTTGGTTGACAACATTATGTCCACAGTGTTGTCCTTCGGTGCTTGTCTCCTTAACTTGTCTTGTTGTTACAACATTATGTACACTGTCTTGTCCTTCTAATGTCCACAGTCTTGTCCTTCTATGCTTGTCACTTTAACTTGTCTTGGTTAGGATATTTAGCCAAAGAAAAAGCTTATTTTTCTACTTCAGAAAACATTGTTATTCTTGCATAATATTGTGCTGTGTCTTTTGAAGAGTTTGGTACACCTGCATACTGGTATCAATAACATGCATGCCATCTGATGGAAAATTAAGTGCACCACTTAAACTGCTAATTGTGTTAATTTGTGCTCTATGCACACTTGTAAATTGTCCTATGCATTGCAATTTTTGGTAAACTTGGGGAAACGTAAGTCTGTCTTTCCACTGTAGAATGAAATAAACTGAAGAAGAAAGATCCAAACATCTAAGATTCTTGTTAGATTTTCATATATTTTTACAATCAGTGGTTTTCAAAACTTAAGAGAGAGACTTATAGGGCCCGCCCAAATTGTTTTTTTTAAAAGTTCCAAAAATATCAACTGTTTCAAAATGTTCATATGTCAATGCTGAAAATTAACCAGTGCTGATTTTTTAGCAGTTATATTTCTTTGTGTATATTTTTGGTACCTGTGACAATGATCCCTTGGTCAATTGACTTGATTGTAGCCCCGTGACAATGATGCCCGGGTCAACTGACTTGATTGTAGCCCTCTGTAACTATGATGTCCTTGTCAATGGACTTGATTATAGCCCCCTGCCGCTATGATGCCCTAGTCAACTGACTTGATTATAGCTACCTGCGACTATGATGCCCTTGTCAATTGACTTGATTTTAGCCCCCTGCCGCTATGTTGCCCTGGTCAACTGACTTGATTAAAGCCACCTGTAACTATGATGCCCTGGGCAACTGACTTGATTATAGCCCCCTGCGACTAAGATGCCCTGGCCGAAATCACAAAGTCCTGCCCACTAACCCTGAGATGAAAGATTAGTGCTTAGTTAATATTTTTTTTCTTTTTAACTTTAAACAAGATAATTGTTATACCAAACTGTCTCTCATTTTCTTCCTAGATGCCTGGACTCGCTGAATTTGTCATAGATGTGCCTTAAGACATTGTGCAATAAAATGTTTGATTACCTCCTCCTTGATGTTGTTGAACTTATTGTTTATCTATCCTGTATCATTTTGGGAATTATTTAATAAAACATAAGAAAATATAAGATTCTTTATAAGATCCAGTTAATTGCAAATGTTTCTTGGTAACATTGCACATTATTATTTTCAGCACATAAAAAAAAAAACATAATTTTTAATGACAGGTGCGGGTGAGAAATGGGTGAAAATGTCAAACTTTGATTATTCTTTTCATTATTGTGTATTTGGTTTCATCCATAATTTCTTAATTAAAATTTTATACATTTTTTTTTACAAAAGTAAGTTATAAAATATAATAAATTACAATTTTCCTGACGCTATCAATAGGAAAAAATGTCAAAATTCTTTTTTCTTCTTGTATTTGAGAGGCCCACGATCAATTTGCTGATCATTCTGGCTCCTCGTTTAAATTCAGAGTTCGCTTTCTCTTAGATGGGTTGCCGTCTAAGGCTAGCGAGTCCCACCCACCATGCTTGGGATGTTGGCTTTGGTGGGGATTGAACTCCAGACCACCCAGCACCATTGCCCCGTTGTGTAATGCTTTTACCGTTTTCATTATGATTATTTGGAATCACCCAATCCCAATGTACAGTGGAACCTCTCATAACGAGCATAATTCGTTCTAGAATCTTACTCGTTATGCGAAACACTCGTTAAACGAAACAATCTTTCCCATACAAATCAATGTGAAATACGATCTTGCGTTCCATGCTGAAAAAATACTCATGTTTCAAAAAAATTTTATTAACATTTATTCAAATAAAATTACTTATGAATTGTTAACAAAATTTGATTTGTTGCCTATTATTAACCATCATCAAAACAAAGTGATACAAATTCAAGAGTTCGCCTTTCTTTGCCCCAGGACATATCCGATCTGCCTCTACTGATAGCACAACTTGGTACAAAACGTTGGGTAAAGACGGCCACAGAACGTTGGCCCAGTTATTCCCATGACTGGGTTTCGGAAGAAGTTAAATATTTGTATATGCCTATATATTATTTATGGAATAAAGTGGTCAGGAATTATAATTTGTACGAGTGTGTGTGATTTTTTTTTTCCCTCATAGCAACTTTCATAAATGACAGGAAGAAATATTTATCTTAATTCTGACAAATAAAGCTTTCCACTGAAACAAATATGATATGGTAGGACGATTCTAAGTACATGAATCGAATCGGTAAAAATTAAAAATACATTTTTACCCCTTTTTAGTGTAAAAAAAAATATTTTACACAATTTTCCAATAATTCTTAATTATAATTTTATTTACATTATTAAAAAATGTTTTTGAAATCAAATCTATCAAAACCCAGAAATACCCAAAAATAAATCTACTATTTACACCGATTCGTCACTAGCACCACCTCTTAACATTAGAGCACCATTGTTATACAGTACAATGTCTTGTACATGCTGTCTGCATGGGCGCCCGCAGGGGGGGGGGGCAAGGGGGCCCTTGCCCCCCCCCTGAATTGATTGGGTAAAAAAAATTTAGACAAAAAAAGACAAAAAAATTATTAAA